GGAGCCGACACTGGAGCGAGCTCTGGAGCTGGAGCCCTCCCTGGGCTTAACTCGGGAACAGGAGCCCTCCCTGGGCTATACTCGGGATCAGGGGCCCTTCCTGGGCTGTACTCGGGATCAGAGGCCCTTCCTGGGCTCGGCGGGGGATCTGGAGCCCTTCCTGGGCTGAACTGGGGATAGGGAGCCCCTCCTGGGTGGAACTGGGGATCTGCCGGCTGCCTTGGGTGAGCCGCGGACAGCGGCGGACTGGTTCTGGCTCGGGACCGGACACTCCCCAGACAACGGAATACACCTTCTCTCCAACACAGTCCAATGGTGTCTGGGAGGTCCCAGGGGCGGTGGGGGGGCGATGGGTGTTGGCCCCAAGCCAGAACAGATGGTTGAGGGTGGCGTCATCCATCGCGTCACCGCTGCGAGCTTGCAAAACTCCCCGGCGTACTCATAGAAGGGGAGATCCCGGCGAGCGAGGACGGAGAAACACGCAGCCGATTGCATGCCGTGGGAGAACTCATCTGTGCCGTCGGTGTTGGTCCGGTCTTCTGTAACGGAAGAGGTCTGACGCAACAGGTTAGTATAACAATCAAGTTTATTTTGGTCACAGGGAGTACGGGTGTAGGATTCAGGGGATGACACGGTGAGTGTATAGTCCGTAGAACAGTTTAAAGGATATGACGAGTGGAATGATCAGAGTCCTTTCCTTTGCAGGAGCTGGAATGCACACGGGAAGAGCACACACCTCAGCGATCCAGGAACTAGGAGGAACAGGAGACACTTGGAGACGAGGAGACACTAGGAGGAACACAGGAGGTAAATAATGCAGGAAGTATTCAAATGGAAGCAGTAGTAAAGTCAGAGAGTCCTCTACGTGTGTACGAGACCGGACAATGAGAGTGTCAGCTTTTATGCAGGCTGGTTGATGAGGTGCTTGATTGGCGACAGGTGCAGGTGCTCAGTACTCCGGTGAAGGTGGTTGCGGTGATTGGGAGGTGACTGAGTCTGGCCGATCTGTGACAACGGGATGTCGCATCACATATATGTATAATTTTTTATACATATAAATATTTTTTTTTAGTGCCACAAATTTGTTAAAATTTCCAAAGGGTGCCGTGACTAAAGAACGGTTGGGAAACACTGATTTAGAAGACGAAAAACTAACAAAGTTATGTCTGACACAGAGAAAGGGACCGATGGCCGGCCAGCCGGGGTTCGTCTTTATTTAAATTTGTGTGCGTGTACTTCTAACATGTTTGGTTGGTAAAATAAATGTTGTAAATTCAAATCAGAGCGTCTTCCGTGTCTGGAATGGATGTATTCTTGAGTCTATAAGGTAACAATAATATAATAAGATAACCTTGTTTGAAATGGGTTTGGCTAAAAGAAAATATTGGTTTCTTCTATACTACTAGGTACTTATAATATGTTGACTGGGTTAAATAGAATTGCATTTCTAAAAAGAGACTAAAATACCATTTTCGTCGACTAAAACTAGACTAAATGTCATCAGTTTTCGTCGACTAAAACTAGACTAAAATGCTCAGACTTCAAGTTGACTAAAACTTGACTAGAGTAAAAAGAGTATGAACGTGACAAACTAATAAAAACTTAAATGACAGTTTCACACAAAGACTAGACTAAAACTAAAATTAAAACAGGTCGCCAAAAACAACACTACTCAGAGTGCGTGCAATTGCGAAATCGAAAGTGACCAGCACGAACGCTCATTCAAAAGAGATTTAAAGAGTTAGTTCACCCAAAAATTAAAATTCTGTCATTAATTACTCACCCTCGTGTTGTTCCAAACCCGTAAAGACCTTCGTTCATCTTCGGAACACATTTTAAGATATTTTTGATGAAATATGAGGGCTCTCTGACCCTCCCATAGACAGCAAGGTAACTACCACGTTCAAGGTCTAGAAAAGTACCAAGATGATCGACAAAGTAGTCCGTGTGACATCAGTGGTTCAACTGTAAAGTTACGAAGCTACGAGAATACTTTTTTGTTCAAAGAAAACAAAAATAACAACTTTATTCCACATTTTTGTCTCTACTGCGTCACTTTGGACACGCGTTCATGACAGTGCCATGACGCGAGCGTGTGGTGGCGCCGGCGCTGACCCAGATCCGGCATGATGACGTCATTACGCCAGATCTGGGTCAGCGCCGCCACACAATCGCATCATGGTACTGTCGTGAACCTGCGTCCACAAGTGAAATACTTTTCTGGACCTTGAATGTGGTAGTTACTTTGCTGTCTATGGGAAGGTCGGAGAGCCCTCAGCCTTTCATCAAAAATATCTTAAATTGTGTTCAGAAGATGAACGAAGGTCTTACTGGTTTCAAACAACACGAGGGTGAGTAATTAATGACAGAATTTTGGGTGAACTCAAAAATACTGAGAGTGGCTCCCTGATGTGTGGAAATTATATATATTAGAATGTTTAAAGGAGTGGACAGGAAAATTGTGGGAGTTAAACGCATGTTGCGGGAGCAGGCGGCAATGGTCAGAGATTCAGTGAGAGCGAGATTAAGAAAATAGCCAAATCCCGGACATTTTGGGCGATTAAGAAATCTTGGCCGGACGCATTTTTTTAGGTCCAAAAAGAGGACATGTCCGGGGGAAAAGGGGACGTATGGTCACCCTAAAAATATGATGCAGGACAACAACTCCATAAATGCAGTTTTAAAGTAAATAAGAAGTTAATATTGTTATATTTCAAACACAATATTATGTTTTTGCAGAGAACATATTACATTAAACAAAATTGAAAATCATAAAGAAGACCTTTGTCTCAAAATACATGCATTAATTTTAGCGATTCTCATTTGCTACTTAAATCTACAACATTTTTTAAAACAAAATATTAGAGCAAGTAAGCACAGAATCAACTTTGCACTGCTGCGCACGATCAAAGATCAGACAAAAATACACGTGCATCTTGAAAAGTGGATGTTTTGGAAAGTGCTATGCCATGTCTTTGTGCTATCTAGTGGTTTAGATTAAAATAATATCAAAGGCGTCTTTAGCCCCATTGTACCCTATATTTTATTTTGTCGTAGTTAACATTTACTTTATTTCAAGTTAAAAAAAATTATGGTTTTAGTTTTAGTTAAATATAATAACCCTGCATTCAACTTGTCACAAGGCACAAATCAACAAACAATCAAACAAATATCACCAATGCATTTGGTTATGGGCGTCTCAGCACAGTTTGAGACATTTCTTGAGATCTCTCTTAAACCTCTAGAGGTTTACATGTGTGCATTTTCTCTCATGAGAAACATCTGAGAAGCAGGAGACATCCACCAAACTTGGTTTTCTCTCAGTTGCCGCCTGTGAGAATGACCGTAATAAAGGAGGTGTCATTTGCGGTTCCTCTTTCCAGTGGAAAACTAAAACCGAAAGTGTTTACCTCCAAATAAACTAGTGTAATTTGGCGAAATGTGAGCGATCTATAAACAGCATGTGGTGTGTTGTTCATTAAACGTGTCACAAGACGTGAATCATGACAAACAGTGCCAGTATCTCAGCTGACTCACATAAACAAATGGGACGGTAAACGCGCACTCATTTCTCCAACTCACGTGGGCTTGTGGGAATCGAGTTATGCCGAAAATCCCCTTTTCTGGGGCCGAGCGTCTCTCTCTCTCTCTTTCTCATTCCCCTCCCCACCTTTCTCTCTCTCAGTATCTGGCTCATGTTAGATCCTGTCTGCTTCAGCAACGTCCGAAACCCCACCTCCTCCTGTCTCTCTCTCTCTCTCTCTCCACCCCATCTCAGGCGGCGTGGAATCCTGGCTGTGTTTAATTGCCGAGTGGCAAGATCTGAGGGAAAGATCGGGAGCCACTGCGTCTGTCAACGCTTTACGAGCCCCAACCCCGGGAGAGAGAGACGGGGAAGGTGTAGGAAGGAAGTGTTTGGAGTTTGGGAACGGTTGAGCTGGGGAATTTTTACGCAGTGGGTAGGTGAAGAAAGAGGTGAAATGCTGAAGTAAGACTTCAGAGTTGGAGAAAAAAAAGAGGGAGGGAAAGAAAAGAGGCCCACCGTTGGAGAAAGGGCAATGAGAGGGAAAAGTGGGAAAACAAGAGTAAGTTAGAAAAAGGAGGAAGGAAGGAAGGAAGGAAGGAAGGGGGAGGTGAGCGAAAAGTTAGAGAGGGAGAGACAAACGCAGTGAATGAGAGGAGACGCAGATGAGAAAAACAGACGCTGTGGATGGCCTGGGTGGAGAGAGAACCAGTTGTTTTCTAAGTCGCCTTTCGGACTGGAATGCACTCGGAGGATTTGAGATTCCCGACGCCTTACTGCCAAGTTTGCTTGCGACGCGCACCGGGCCCCGCAGACGGATCATGTCTGCGTATGGAGTCTGGAGTAGCCCCGTTCCCAAAGGAGTTGGGGATGGAGCGAGCGGAGAGGACTGGAGCATCTCCGGTTAATGCCGTAGAGATCCGGCACCCGTGCTACAGGTGGGACTCGCCATGCGTTCGGGAGATCTGGCGGGAGTGCGGATGTGTCCAGCGGTGGTTTTACCCAGAGTTGTTGCATCCCTTCAACGGCGACCATGTTTTGAAGGTCAGAGGTCACCAGTGCTACTCATCCTACGTTCAGGAATGGGACAACGTTCATCAGCCTGAATATAACAGACATTGCGAAAGGAGACGTGTGTCGTTCCGGCATCACGAGGAGCGACCCAAGACTGGCAGACAATCACACTGTAACGGGCCGAACTCTAATCAGGTGGGTTTTTTCCCAACCGAGGTGCCCTCAAGTAAGCTGGGCCGCTCCAGGGCACTCGGGAACGGGCTGCAGGTGAACGGATCGCAGCGGGAAGTAAGGACGTCTCGGGGGGACGAGGGTCTGGAGAAACAAGGCAAGCAGAGGAAGAGCCAGGGAACAGTACGGGAACAGATCAAACAAGTGGTCACGGAGCTCGAGGAAGTGCTGGGTGGTCTCAAACAGGTCCAGTTGGAAATGAAAGAGGTGAGGATAGAATAATAAATAGATGGAGTGATGTTGCAAGATCAAAAATTGGGTCTTGAAAGTTTTAAAAGGATAGTCCAGCCAAAATGAAAATTCTGTCAACATTTACTCATGAATGCACGAGGAAAGCACAGAAATTAGAATTTTCTTAAATGATACTATACTGAAAATGAAAGTTCTATTATCATTTACTCTTGTATGCATAACAAACTTAGATATTTGACTGCTTTTTCTTAAAGGGATAGTTCACCCTGAAATTGAAAAAAATCTGTCATCACTTACACGAGAGTGCACGAAGAAAACCGAAATTTGATGATTTTTCTTAAAGGGTTTATCTAGCCAAAAATTTAAATTGTCACAATTTACTCATGAATGCATGAAGAAAATTCAGAAAGGTTATTTTTCTAAAAGGGATAGTTCACCCTGAATTGGAAATTATGCTATCATTTATTCTTGAATGCATAAAAAATCTTAGAAATTTGACAGTTTTTTCCATAGAGGGATAGTTCATCCAAAAATGAAAATATGGTCATCATTTACTCATGAATGCATGAGGAAAGCACAGAAATTGTACTATTTTGGGAATAAAAAGGAATAGTTCGCCCAAAAATGAAAATTCAGTCATTTACTCATGAATGCATGAAAACTTTTCTTAAAAGGAGAGTTCACCCAAAAATTAAACGTCTGTCATCATTTTCTCAAATGCGGTTAGAAAAAAAATCACACACTGAACTACTTTTCTTAAAGGAATTGAATGAAGTATCAATAAATAAATTAAAAATAAATAAATAAATAAAATATCTATAATTTACTCACCCTCATGTCATTCCAAACCTGTATGACTTTGTTTCTTCAGTGGAATATATAAGAAGACATTTTGAGGAAAGTTGGTTTCCAAATAACATTGATTGGACCACACTGACTTATACAGTACAAAAAACTGAGACATTTCTCAGAATATCTTGTTTCACAGAAGTCATACTGGTTTGGAACGACAAATGGCCAAGTGAAACACTGTGAGTGACAGACTACTATTTCTCTTCATGCATTCATATATAGTAAACATTCATATAATGAGATTTGTCACTGATTTGGGGTTCAGCATATTTGAGATGGGATTTTAATAAGCACTGAGACTGGATAAGATCAAAACTTCATTCTGTTTAGCCAGTGGAAATATAATTTCTGTGTTCTTAGCAAACATCTTTGTGATGAATATATTCTGAAAACATCATCTGAAAGCCTTCAGAAATCAAAATACACATCTGCCAGAAACACACTCTCAATTATATTCATGGCTGGAAATACTCCATTGGAAGCTTTATTGTGAAGAGGAATATTGTATTTTCTGGAAGGGAAGAGACCGTCAGTTAAGTCCATCACAAAGGCTTGTTATAAGAGAACAGAATCTTAAAATCAATACCTAAAGATAGCTCAATATGTGCAGACTGACATTAGCAATAATGGACTGTGCAGAACGCAAGACATTAATTGAATTATTTAGATACGTTTCAATGGATGCATCAAGACTCCCATTAGATGTAAATGACTGCAGCAGGAAATAAAGTCAGTAGATTAATGCATCACAGTGAAGGATGCCAAAAAATGTATTTTTATGCTATATTAACCTGATGATGACCTGTGAGGACATGTTTAGAAAAAACTTCAGTGCTAGTTTTTGGTGGGTCAGTTTAATGTTCAGAGTCACTATTAGTCAGTCATTGGTAGTTTGAAACACTGTGATGCTTTTAAAACATTGATATGAGTGGTTTGACATGTCAACTTCTGACTCAGCCAATGACGAGAGTTTAGGGGCGGGACTATTGTTGATTAATGACAGACAGCTTTAGGTAGAAGTGTCTGGGAAAGCTGTTTGGAAAGCAGTCATTATATTTCTCAACAAGTTGTGCTGTTAGTGAAGATTGCACAGTTTACCTTTAAGAAAAAAGTTAAAATATACTGTAATAAAATATATATGTATATAATATACACAGTATATAAAAATATATGCCCACCATCATGCTGTTCTAAACCCACATGACTTTCTTTTTTTGTGGAACACAAAAATGTTCTACAGAATATTCATGCTGCTTTTCCCCCATACAATTCATATTCATTCATTCAAATCACACTCATTACTTGCTGAAAATCTTGCCTTCATGTTTAAAGAACAGGGGTTTCTTAAGGTTTCAAGTATTATAATAATACTGTGCATCAAAAACTGAAATGATTTTTGGGTGGAAGCATGAAAACATACCTTAGTTTAGTTTCAGTTTACAAAAATGCTTCATTTAGTTTTGGTTAACTCAATATGATCGCAAAAACCATTGGCGCCAAACATGGCGCGACACATTTTGATCCATCATATTTGAGTATGAGAATGCAATGGCAGAAAGGAAGAATTCCAGTGAACTGTTTACAAAAATTACTGCAGGACTCCTTTTTAGAGGTTGACCACTAGAGATGCATCGATTGCAATTTTCTTGGCCGATTCCGATTTCCGATTTTTCATTAGTGTGATCTGCCGATACCGATTTTTGCCGATTCCGATTTTCTTTCCAAGAACTATAATTGACAGCATATACAAACAAAAATCTACTTTTCTTCAACGCAAAGTTTTATTTTCATAAAAACAAGTAAAAAGTAATAAAATAAGAACAAATAAAAAAAATGTCAAACAACAGCACAAATAAATGCAATAGAATAAAGAGATCTATGAAACTAAGTTTTTCAGGTTAAGTAAGTTTTTATTCAGGTAAGAAATACTACAGAAATGAAAGTAATCAAATGTAAAATAACACATCCAGTTTATTCACGGACCCAATATACTGTTACACAACAGGCGTTCTCTTTCTCAACTATTTAACGTTCCAAAACTGACTGTGTTTAACTGGATACTCGCCAAGATGGGAATTTGACATAATTTGGTATGTATTTGAACGTTTTAGCGCAGTTAGCCACTCATTTTGCTTTTTTTGTGGCTCACAAGCTGTTTGAGACTGAGCGCGGATTGTGGAAAGAAGTGAGACTGACCGACCGATCACTGATCCGGGCCGATCATGAGGAAAATCGGCCGATTCCGATCCCTGGCCGATTGATCGGTGCATCTCTATCTCTAGGCGGTTTAAAGCAATAAAGTTTAGAATGACATTAGGGTGTGTAAATAATGACAGAATTTTTATTTTTTTCTGTCTGTGAAGGTCGTCCAACAGATTGACATTCTGACGTCCAATATTGACCTTGGTGAAGACGAACCAAGTCCATCCAATGGACTCTCCCAAGATGCAACCAAAAGCAGTCGAACTGGTGTTGTGGCATTGATCCACAATTCAAACAGCGAAGAGGACATGTCCACTTCCAATTCCTCTCTCGCTCACAGCCCTGTCACTGTGGATTTTGTTCACATTAACAGTCCTTCACCGATGACAAACTGCACAAATCCATCCCCTCCTGAGCAACGATCTGTTACTGCTGAGGATAAAGGCAAACGAGTTGTGAAACAGAGCTCAGAGACTCAAAGGACAGCCAATGGAAACTGCCTACCTCATCGAACAGCAAGGAAAGGCCAACTGGAAAACCACAGACCACCTGTAGCTCCAGCAGTGTGCACTAACTCAAATAAAACCCAACGGCCTCCACCTTACCCTCAGAACGGACAGGTGAAGATGAGGACACCCCCCTATCCTGGAAAACATAAGACCCTCTCCTCCACCGTAGTGTAAGGATACAAAACTCACTTTCACAGAAACCCAATCATCAGTAAAGAGGACAACATACGCAAACACATCACACATACTCATAGATACATCGCACACATGCTTAATCGTTTACCAAGTAACTCATCCAAATGCTTCTTGGTGACGAAACTCAGGGTAAGTGGACACTACATGTCCTTAGACAAATGGTCAGCATGTGCTTGCTGTGTTTATGTTCATGCATGTGTGTATCTGCACTTCTAAACTCAAATTATCAGGTATTTATACACTACCGTTCAAAAGTTTGGGGTAAAGAAAGAAGTCTCTTCTGCTCACCAAGGATGCATATATTTGATTAATTTGTCAGTAAAAACAGTAATATTGTGAAATATTTTTACAATTTAAAATAGCTGTTTTCTATGTGAAAATATTTCAAAATGTAATTTATATCTTTGATGTAAAGCTGAATTGTCAGCATCATTACTCTAGTCTTCAGTGTCACATGATCCTTCAGAAATCATTTTAATATGCTCATTTGCTGCTCTAGAAATATTTCTGATTATTATCAATGTTGAAAATAGTTGTGCTGCTTCACTTTTTTTTAGGATTTTTATATTTTGTGACATTACATATGCCATTATTGTCATATCGGTCATACCTTATTGCTTTTGATCAATTTAATGTATCCTTGCTAAATAAGTATTAATTTAAAAAAATGTACTGACCCTAAACATTGGAACAGTAGTGTATTTTCTCATCATTGTATTTATTTACATTTAGCCTATGTATTATCTCAACTGTTTCTCCTAGATTAGAACAAGATTAAATATTGCGCAAATGAAAATGTCTGCTTTTCAGCTTCTTAAGAAAAATCTCATGTCTCCTAAAGAGTTTCAGAAGAGATCTCAAAAACGTCTAAAACGGTGCTCATATTAGCAAAGATATCAGAGATCTGTTTGATAATTTCTCATTAAATTCTCCCAATACCAATGTAATGAGCTGCTATTTACATTTATTTTATACATGCTGTTAACTATTATCATATCAGGAGATGACTCTGAGCTTTAAAAGAGCAATTTCCGATGGGTTTATTTCCCCAAAGTGCTGAAACATGTACCACATCCATGTGCCTTTCAGAAAAAAAACTCACTCTCTATTACAACAGACACCATCGCCATGTGTTTTTTCTTAGTTATTATTTCCCAGAAAAGAAAGGCATGGTGGGGTCTGCCGGCATTGAATCATTTCCTTAGAAATAGAGACCAAGCCATTTGTGATGAAGACAGTCTACACAATGACTCAGTGGTAACAAGGCTAACTATGCGTCATGAAAGATGTCTTCCATCTGTTCCGCAGGCTAACATAGTGTCAATATGCTGCACTTGTTTCCTCAGATTATGGCGAGCTCTTGTTTGCCCCGCAGTCAGAGCAATGGTGTTGAACGCTGTGCGATTCAAAAGCCGTTCCCGCATCTCAGATCGGAGGCTGAACATGACTTTGGAATAACCGTGCAGTTCTTTGTTGCTTTATCACACAGGATTTCAGAATACAATCAGGAATGTTTGATAAACATTCTATAAATGAAACTTCTATCCACGGCTGATTATATCGGTCCTTCATTGGTTGATGTCGAGGCACGTTAAAAGTTCAAACACGCGACTTTAATGCTGGGATTTCTTGGAAAGTCATCTTACACTGCTGTAGACAAAATGCAGATAATATTACAACGTCCATCAATTAAATTAACTGGATTTATACATGTCCTGAAGAAAACTTGAGAGGTGCTTGCCTGTGTAAAACCGGCGGTTGCCAGGGCATTGCTTTGTGGTTGCTAGGGTGTTTTCTGGGTGGATGCTTACAGGCTCAAAAGGGCCCACCCACAAGTCTCTATGATATTATCATCCCTAAATATGCAACCTCACTGGAAAAAGATAGCTATACATACAATTCACTGCAGTTTCCATCTGAAAGTAACACTAGTGGCAATAAAATCACTAACAACATTTATGCCTTTTCACACAAATTAATTAATACAGGGGCAGATTACCAATTAATAAAGACTTATTTTTGTGCAGTTCCAAATTACCTTTTATAATGTTATGAGCTCAAAACACTTTTACCATAGTGCATGATTTGTAAACTAATATATTTTGATGTTTGCATTAAAAAAAATCAGATTTATATGCATCTTTTCAGAGTAAACTTGCTCAGTAGCTCACCTGGTATGAGGTACGATTCCAGTGAAAAACAAGTCAAAAGAAATGCTCAAAGACTTGTAGAAGCAAGCTAAAATACCATGCAAATGCATTTTAATTGCACTTTTGCTTTTGTTAAATCTATTGGTTAGGATTTAGTATAAGGTTAAGAGTAGGTTGTACGTTATTTACAGATGCGATACAGCATTGACCTAGCATCTCTCTCCAGAGACTTAATTTATGTACAACGTAATAAAATGTGAAACAATGTAATAAAACATAGCCAGATTCACGTTCATGTATTCTGGAGAAAACTGCATGCACTTTTAGTGCTACTCATTGGACATTTCATTTAAGTACAAATAAACAGCATTGCCAGATTTACGCTCATCTGTATCAGAAAAAAAAAAAACTGAACGCGCTTTTAGCACCACTCACTGGATATCTAATTTACCTACAACTAGGGCTGGACAATAATTCAATATCAATATGTATCACGATATAATTTTTTTCAATAACGGTGATATGATTTTTAAACACATTTCCGATATTTCGATATACATTACCAGTGTTTCCCATACATTGATTTATTTGTGGCGTTTGACTTCGTTGAATAAACATGAGCACTGCACGTTTCAAAATCA